GAGGAGGGATGGGACTCTTTGGAGAGTCTGGGGTGAAGACGTGGGCTGGTTTCCACTGGTCTCCTTTGTTGTTGTTCCACCTTCAGAGGTGGCCCCTTGAGTCACAGTCCCCATTTGGGGCCACTGGACCCATCTGGACGCAACTCTGCCCTGTGTAGAGCCTAGCATGGAGGGCCTCGGGTTTATAACCCCACAGTTCTCTGACACTCTGGAGAGGACTCCTTGGGGTGAATCCAAACCTTCTGAACATACACTTGTAAGGCCAAGGTATTATGTGAATCAACGATTCTTTATTTTATTTCAGTTTGTTTGGTGTGTCTGGCTATGTGTGTGTGTAAAGAATATTGTGCAATCAGAGACTTCAGATTAAGCATGAAGCTCTTGCTTGGCATTTGAGTGGGAGACATGCATTGACCTTGAGTCAGCTGACACCAGAGCTTTGAAGAACGCAGAGATCCTTGAGGAGCCTCGCGGTCATCTCCGTGTCCTCAGCAGCCTCATGCCTCACACCAAGCTCTCACTAAGGACTGAGACTGAACAGCCCTGCAACATCCACCTCACTCTCTGTATTGCAAAGAACAGAGAGATTGTTCTACAACATGAGGTTCCCCTGAAAGCACCACATTCATGATTTTAAACTAAAGGAAGAAAACTAAGACACCTGGCAAGTACTCCCCAACTCCACTTTGTACTCAGCCCATGAATATCTTTCACTAAGTGCTAATGCCCACTCTCTGTTTAGTCCATACTCAGCACATTGTCAGAACAGTGGAGGCAGAGTCGGGGCCTCAGCAAGCACTGCGGGTTAAGGGAACTCCAGCCCAGAACACAGTGGGTGCTCAGTAAAGGCTTCAGAAAATGAAAGTCTGGGATCCAGAGGTGGTTCCACTCTCCTCCACTAGGAAAGCCCAGAATGGGATCTGGGCATGGGAACATGGTGTAGTGACAGAAGATGGGGGATCACAGGACTCTACCCGAGGGGACAGATACTCTACAGCTGGCTCCTGAGGCCGATGGGGCAAGCTGGTGGCTTTGCTTTTCACCCCTGCATCTGTCCACAGAGGCTGATGGGAGGTGGAGAAGAGACCTGAGGCATCCAGAGAAGTGCTGGGTCCTGCCAGTGCCTCGGGACTTGTTTGTCCATCCTTATACCTTATCCTGTGGCTCCAGATTTCTTGACAAATCCTGGAAAGGAGACATTAGCCCTCAGCTCTCTGGAAGGAAGGAAGGGATTTCACTTCCCTCTTCAAATCCCTACTCAGGTCATTCCACCCATCCATTAACCACCGTTAAAGCACCTGACTCTTCCTCTCAGCTACCCACAACCCACCGCTCCCGAAGGCCACAGTTTCACTACCTGGGCCTCAATAAAGTTTTCAACTTTAAGGCAAATATAATCAGTGGAAATCCATGTTTTCAAGACAAATCCATAACTGGTTTTGGTGCTCTTTCTCAGGGTCCCTATTGAGACACACCCTTCCAGCCAAGATCTGCTGAGTTGGCCCCTGAGGCTGATGGGTCATGGCTGTGCCATTTTCTTCCCTGTAATCCTGAATCCCCTCCCTCTTTTTTCCCTCCCAGGTCAACCTCCAAGCCATCTGTCTTCTAAGGAGCTCTCTCTGCCTGTGATCTCAGCTCCCCCCCATCACAGCCATCCTCAGCCCTGTAGCCAGTGGAGTCTCTACCGCTGATGTGATGAAGATGCTCCCCTGAATAAAGTGCTTCCCTGGGGCTTCACTGACATCAGGGCCCCCGGAACCCAATTACCATAGCAGTTATGTACACGGATGGGCTGTGCAGTGGAATAAGATCAGTTCCAATTCTGCCTCAGATGCTTCCTGACTGTGGGCAGGGACAGGTTAAATCAAACTAATTGTGTGGGGCCCAAACTAATATCTAAAACAACAACAACAGCCGTAAACGGTTTGGCTCAGTGGATAGAGCGTCGGCCTGCGGACTGAAGCGTCCCAGTCTAGGGCATGTACCTTGGTTGCGGGCAGATCCCCCAGGAGGTGTTGAGGGGGCAGCTGATCGATGTTTCTCTCTCATCTATGTTTCTAACTCTCTCTCTCCCTTCCTCTCTGTAATATTTAAATAATAAAAATAAAACAACAACAACAAAAAAGGTGCTTCCAGTCCTAGCCAGATGACTCAGTGGGTTGGAGTGTCATCCCAGATACCAAAAGATTGTGGGTTCAATCCCCTGTCAGGGTGTGTATGAGAAGCAACCGATCAATGTTTCTCTCTCTCTCTCTCTCTCTCTCTCTCTCTCTCTCTCTCTGTCAATAAAAACATATCTTCAGTCAAGGATAAAAAAAAAAGTGCTTCCCAATGAATGCCTGGCACAAAGCAAGAGAGAAGGATCAGGAAGGAACAGCCTCTGAGGCTGTGTGAAATCAACCCCTTGGAAAAGTCCTCCACAGAAGCACAGAAGCAGGGGACTGAGGGAGGGCCCGTGTCCCAGCCCAAAACCTAAAGGAGTCAGAGAGGACCTCAACACTGTACTTGGAGATGCAGTACCCCAACCATACGCGGACACATACCCGAGATGCTGCAGACGTTGACCACCCTGCCCCTAGCCTATGTCACCAGGGGTAGCAGACTCAGGGTCACCTCGATCACCCCCAACAGCTTCACACTGAGCATTGTTATGAAGTCTTGTTTGGTCAGTCATTCCTTGGGTGCCGTGGGCACAGACATGCCAATTATTCACCAGGCCCCAGAGCCCTGGGCACAGTGGGAGTAAGAGAGCAATCCTGTGCTGTGACCCTGTAGTGAGAACACATGTGTGGTTCCAATTTACATTCCAATTCAGTTTATTTTATTCACTCAACAACAGTGTGATGCCTGGTATAAGGGAAAAGAGTGTGGGAGAGGAAACAGGAACGTGGTGGTTACAGGGAGTCAGAGTTTGCAAACGTGTTTAGCTACCAAATGGCAGGGATGGTCCTTCTCATTTTTCTGCTCCTCAGTGCCTGGCACACAATAGGCAATCAGCCCATCTTTGTTAAGTGCGTGGACGGAGTTTGAGATAGAGTAGTATTCAACACTATCTTATAGGAGAGACATATAGACAGGTAGAGAGAAGTGGGTAAGAGACAGTAATGAAGGGAAAACTAGAGAAGAGAAAGGAAATGGAGAAGGAGATGCGGGGGGGGGGGGGGGGCTGAGATGAGAAACACCATGAATAATTGTTTTCCACACCCTGGTTGGGAAAGATACACTTGAAATCCCAGGATTAGGGTTAAATAGAGATAGGCCGGCATTGAACACCAAGAGCCTAGCTTTGGGACAACCTGCATCAATCCAAAGGCAATAGCTGCTCAGCAAGTCAAGTTCCCCTTCTATGCTAGGAAATTCCAAAGTTCACCCTGGAGTGAATGCTCGGCGCAGACTTTGGGAAAAGGAGAGGAGGCCTCCTGCCACACCTCGTGTACACTGCACCCTTGGCTCCAGGAAGTGTCACTGTCTCCTCTCACCCTCCAAAGGCCACCCTTGCCCCATCCTCCTAAGTCCCAAGCCCACTCAGCTTGCAGGAAACTTCTCTGGAGGAGACAGGGGGGAGACAGAGGATTGTAATACAGACCCGTAGATCTCATTGGCAAGGGCAGGTGTTACTGGTGAAAACGGGTTCTTTTGTGCTGTTGAGAGAAAAGAATTTCAAAAGGCACACATGTGGAGAAGTTTAAATGTGATGGCAAAAGTCTATAATAATAAAAGTGTAATCTGCTAATTAGACCGGACATCCTTCCGGACGACCTTCCAGATGAAGCCGGGGCTGCGAGGGCCGAGCCCCTTGCACAAATTGCATGCATCGGGCCTCTGGTAAATAAATAAATGTGATGGCAGGATGTGATTTGGGGTGAAGAGCATTAATACACCCTCAGGGACATAGAGGACGGGAAGGGTCTAGAAACAATAGTCACAGGGCTGTTAATTCTCTATATTTCCTTGGTTCACAGTAAAGAACAAGGTGTCATTTAGTCCATCTAACCAGCTTTCTAATTCTTCCGGGCTAGAGTGTGTGTGTGTAGGGGGGGGGGGGGGGTTCTGGGGGCGAGGGGCGCTCCTCCCAACCAATCCCTTTCCTGGTCCTACTGGGGTTCCAAGGTCTCTATCCAATCTGATCACCTTCCCAGTTTTTTCCTGGCTACACTCTGTCCCTCTGCCATCACCCTGGCTCTACTGAGCATGTCCAAAAGGAAACACCTCCCTCCTGTGCTAACAACTTTTATTGCCCATGTCTAAAAGTTCTGTTACATCACCTGGTTTCTCCTGCTCACGTGCCCAGCAGAGGAATTTCCCCTCCTCCTTCCTGGGAATCCAGTCTGGGCGAGCAGGGCAGCACCTCGGGGTGATTTTCCTGTCAGCTCTGAGGATTAAGTCTCCTCGTGGCAGTCCCCCGGAGTGTGTGATGAGTCTGTATATGCTATAGCTTCCCTGCAAACTCATTGGAATGCTGTCCTGGTATCTGCTTCAGCTTCCCAGTTTATTCAGCTTAATGTTTGCTCCAACTCCTTAGTTTATTAAGCTTATTATTTGATTCCCATTTGCTTCCTTCCTTATATTAATAACTAGTTAATTGTGACAATAACACAGGGTTTTCGGTGAGTTGTGGATGGTGAAGGGGCTGGCAAAGTTTGGCCTTAGGAATATTGGAAAGAACAAGGTTCTGCAACATTAGTCCGTGTCCTGCTCAGAAACCTTTCCTGGCTTTAAAGAAATGTGTATTTGCCCTAACTGGTTTGGCTCAGTGGATAGAGTGTTGGCCTGTGGACTGAAGGGTCCGGAGTTCGATTCTGGTCAAGGGCATGTACCTTGGTTTTCGGGCACATCCCCAGTAGGGGGTGTGCAGGAGGCGACTCATTGATGTTTCTCTCTCATCCATGTTTCTGACTCTCTATGCCTCTCCCTTCCTCTCTGTAAAAAATCAATAAAATATATTTTCAAAAAATGTATATTCTTTGAATCAATTATTTAATTTTACTTTAATAATAGTATTTGAGTATGTGAGCAAAAATGCTCCGTACTTCTCTCTACAGATGCATCTTCTCCCTCACACAGTACCCAATTCCCCCCTACTATGCACCACAATCTTGGGTCACATGGCCTTAGCAGGTCTTGGGTTGCACAAGTTGATCATGGCATCCACCAGGAAGGTGGGCATGTAGCTCATGGGAAGGTAGATGAGCTTGGCATCCCAGCCAGGTGAGTATCGGGTGCGGGGATGGCAGGCGGTCAGAGCATGTTCCATGCAGTTCGTCACCAAGGACAGATCTTGTGTGCCCAATTTATTCCACGATCCAATTGCTTTCAGGGCTGTCCAGAATGAGAAAGGATCCAGATGTATTCCCATCTCCATCCAATCCCATTTTTAGATCACCTTACAGAATGAGTTTCTAGAATTCCTGGTCTCCTCCATTGAATCCACCCAAATTCTTTAGAGGGTGCCCCTCTCCTCCCCCAGGCACAACTGTTTCACTCTAATCCACCTCTGGCTTTATTCCTAGGATTATGTGGAACACATAACTGCAGGTCTCCACAGACACTAGAAATCTAAGTGCCTGAAAGCCAGCTGCTCTCTTACTTGCTAACCAGGAGTTCACGGGTGTCTTTTCTCTCTGGCTTTAGTTTCATCCTCAACAAAATGAGAAGCTCACATAAGACAGTGGTGCCACGTCTAACAAGCCTGGATCCTTTCCTTAGGTTACCACTTGACAACAGGGACCAGCGAGATAGAATAAAAGTGGGAGAATTAAACTGATCAGGTGGGTGAGTCAGAGCACAGAGGTTGGACCTGAGACTAAGGTTGTACTAACTATGAATCTAGACTTCAGAAAAATGGTTTGCTTCTATCCCCATGAACCACAAGGCCCACTTACTGCGTGCCAGAAACCTCTCCCCATAGGCCTCCTTGACCTCTGGGCTGGCCCTATCCCATGCGTCTTGGAAGCTCCTAGAAATCACCGCAGAACTGGTCACAAAAGTCTTGAAGTAACCTGGCTCAATGATAGCCACTTTCACCCCAAAGTGGGAGAGCTCCCTCCTGCAAGGCAAACCGACAGAGAGGCAAAGACTTCAGAGGTCGTATAAAGGAAAACAACACCTGGAAAAAACCCACCCCAACAAAACACCAATGTAAGATTGCAGTAGATTAAGCTCAAAAGTCTGGGGAGTTGTGAAGTGCAGCAGACAGGAGGAGAAAATTTATGATGATAATATTGCCTCCCTACAGAGTTTGAGTATTTTTACAAGTATTTACATACATTTGCTTATAACTCTAAATCCTACCAATTCTGTGGAAAGACACCACTTAAATTCTACCCCCTGGTATCTGTCACATGCAATAAAACCTGGGCTGTGCCTATTTTATATTTCCCATGCTCCTCACACCCCTCCTTCTTGTCTCCCACCCAGGTCAACATCCAGGCCATCTGTCCTCTATGGAGCTCCCTCTGCCTGTGGTCTCAGCTGCCCCCCATCACAGCCATCCTCAGCCCTGTAGCCAGTGGAGTCTCTACAGCTGATGTGATGAAGATGCTCCCCTGAATAAAGTGCTTCCCTGGGGCTTCACTGACAACAGGGCCCCCGGAACCAATTACCATAGCAGTAATGTACACGGATGGGCTGTGCAGTGGAATAATATCAGTGCCAGTTCTGCCTCAGATGCTTCCTGACTGTGGGCAGGGACAGGTTGAATCAACTCCATTGCCCTGAGGCCCATCCAGCCTCCAGAAGACAAAAAAGTGCTTCCCAATGAATGCCTGGCACAAAGCAAGAGAGAAGGATCTGGAAGGAAGAGACTCTCAGTCTGGGTGAAATCACCCCCTTGGAAAAGGCTTATCAGGAAGCACAGAAGCAGAAGTGCCAAGGGACGTTCTGTCCCAGTCCAGTACCTGAGGGAGTCGGAGAAGGCCTCGACGCCGTACTTAGAGATGCAGTAGCCTCCACCGTACAAGGCTACACGACCCATGACACTGGAGACATTGACCACTCGGCCCTTTGCCTTCCTCACCAGGGGCAGCAGACTCAGGGTCACCTCGATCACCCCCAACAGGTTCACATTGAGTATCTTTACGAAGTCCGGTTTGGTCAGCCACTCATTGGGTGCCGTGGGCACAGAGATGCCAGCATTATTCACCAGGCCCCAGAGTCCTGGGCACACAGAGGGGAGAGAGGAAGACTGTGCTGAGACCTTGCAGTGAGGACACAGCTGTGGTTCCAATTCACCTTCCAACTGAGTGAGGACAGTATGAGGAGGCGACATGGGGAGCGGGCAGAACAGGTAACAGATAGCTACATGCTGTCTGCAGGGTTTGGGGCAGTGCAGACCCTGTAAGCTGTGGTGACAGGGAGTAGTCCTTCCTCCTGGTTTATCTCTAGTGCCCAGCCCGAGGATGTGCTTATTGATTTTATTTTATTTTAAACATATTTTTATTGGTTTCAGAGAGGAAGGGAGAGGGAGAGAGAGAGATAGAAACAACAATGATGAGAGAGAATCATTGATGGGCTGCCTCCTGCACACCCGCTACTGGGGATCGAGACCACAACCAGGTCATGTTCCCTTTACCGGAATCTTACCCGGGACCCTTCAGTCCAAAGGCCGATGCTCTATCCACTGAGCCAAACCAGCCAGGGCTGCTGATTGATTTTAAAGAGAGGAAGGTGGAGAGAGAGACAGTGAGAGAGAGAGAGAGAGAGAGAGAGAGAGAGAGAGAGAGAAATTGATTGGTTGCCTTCCATACCTGCCCTGACTAGGGATGGAACCGGAACCTGGACGATGCTCCAATTGACTGAGCCGCAAGGCCAGGGTTTGATTGCATTTCTATATACCAATAATGAACCATCAGAAAGGGAAATTAAGAGAGCAATCTCATTTAAAATTTCATTTTTAGAAAACACACCAAAAAACTTAGGAATTAATGTAATCAAAGAAGTAAAAAACCTGTACTCAGAAAATTATAAGCTATTGAAGTAAGAAATTGAAGAAGGTACAAGTAAATAGAAGCATATACCATGCTAATGTATAGTAATAATTACCCTTGTTAAAATGTCCATACTATCAAAATCAACCTATAGATTCAATGCAATCCTTCAAAATATCCATACTATTGAAATCAATCTACATATTCAATGCAATCTGTATCAAAATACCATTGGCATTTTTCATAGGACTAAAAATAGTACTTAAACTTGTATGGAACCACAAAAGACCCTGACTAGCCAAAGCAATAGTGAGAAAGAAGAACAATTTGGGACGTATTACGCTATCCAATAACAGAAAATACTACAGGACTATAATAATCAAAAGAACATAGTAGGTGTCAGAGAGGAGGGCGTTGGGAGCTTTCTGAGAAGGTGAAGGGATTAAGCAAAGAAAAAAAGAAGAAAGACTCATGGACACAGACAATAGCATGGTGATTGCTAGTTGGAAGGGGAAATGCAGGAGGTAGAAGAGAGTAAAGGGGATAATTCCTGACTGAAGAAGACTTGATTTGGAGTGGTAAATACAAATGCAATATACAGATGATGTACTGTATGTAGAATTGTATATCTGAAACTTAGATGATTTTATTAACCAATGTCACCCCAATAAATTCAATTTTTAAAAAGCATGGTACTGACATAAAAACAGACACATAGATCAATGGAATAGAATAGAGAGCCATGAAATAAACCCACACCTATCGGTCAAGCAATCTATGACAAAGGAGGCAAGACTATACAATGGGATAAAGACAGTCTCTTCAATAAATGATATTGAAAAATCTGAAAAAACACATGCTCAAAAATTAAACTAGACTACTTTCTTACACCCAATACAAGAATAAATATATTAAAGATTAAATTTCACACTCAAAACCATGAAACTCCTACAAGAAAAACATAGACAGTAAACTCTTTGACACTGGTCTTCGAAATAATTTTTGG